GGGGGGGGGGGTAGAGCCAGAGGAGCCAGAGAGAGAAGTTTTTATTTAGCCAAAAAGAGAGGGTCATCTGCATTTATTACAAAGCTCTGCCATTGAAGAATACTGATAAAAGTAAATAAGGGGTAGGGTCAAAATTAAAGGGACAGAGGGTTGTTGATTATTCTAATCTATGCTGTCAACCCCCCCGGCCATGCCAGAGTTCAAAACTTTTTCAAAACAAGAGACTTATTTTACCTTAGAAAGAGTAATAATAATGGGAGTATTATCTACATTCAAACGTTTACAGTCGTGAGGATCATCAGATATTTCTAGTTCAACATCTCCTCCATCTGTTGTTACTGTGACATTTGGGATACTAAAAACATAAAACAAGTATTATATTTATTTATTATATGACTGTGAATCTTAGAGCCTGGACACTAGCAAATCGAGCAATCTGATTGGATAGATCGCATCGCAGACTGGTCTAAATTCTCCGGTATTAACCGGTCCGATCGCATATTAATCTTACGGCGAAAACATTTTGTCCTTTTCAATGAAAAGTGGTCATATAATAAAACTYTTATCAACCGAGCTTAGTCGGTCTGTACGGGATAATCTTGACCTCGATYGGGTATAGAGATCTTGCTGCGCTCGGTCTGTACATTCCGACCTCGGTCAAGATTATCCCATACAGACCTCTCGCTCGGTTAATAAGATCTAAATAAAAGCCTTTGATTTATTCAGTAAGAGGGCCTTTTAAGAATCTTTGACCCAGAAAACTATGGGTAATCTTGTACCTCATGACCAATTGACATGTGTCAATGTGACAATACTCAACCGAATGTTACATATAAATATCATTGGTAAACCATTAGCCATTTGCAACTGTCTTATGGCAAACAATGGGCTGCCAGTTGTCCAAATGTTGATCAACAAGTATTGGCTGGTCATAAAGCACATGATTACCCAAAGATAGACATGGCACATTTTCAGATGTTTGGTTTGCTGCCATCCATCAAATGTACAGTATTCTGACTTTGTAATGTTGGTATTACAGCCGAAGGACATGAAATTCCATTTTCATCTTAGGAGATATCCTTGATAGGTTTACGCCTAGGGCAAACGTTGAACTTTCCATGCAACGAACTCATTAAAAACAATGGATATCAGGTGATAATGAGGCGGCATTCTTTGATGTAATTAAGTTCAGTGCATGAAAATTTCGACATTTGCCCTAGGCCTAAGCCTAGTATATTTTCATAGTATATTTTTACCTTGTGTTGTGTAAAGCAGCTTTGATGGCAATTGAAAGGATATCATATAAATTACCACTACCACATTCTAATACCTGAAGAAGAAAAAAAAACATGACAAATTAGTATTATATATAGACCCCTTGCAGCACTTCGGAATGCAGCTCAATTTGAAGGGCAAAATAATAGCTTTCCAATTCCCAGGAGATTGAAATTCTTTTGTTTTGTCATCCAAATTGAGCTCCTTTGATGTCACATGCAAGGGGTCTACATAATTAACACTTGGCTGCCATTATTTGGATAGTTGAGAATAGTGGAGAACAAACACTCATTTGAATATTATTTGTGCCTGAAGGGCTGTGACTTAAAAATTTAGTGGTATTAGCAACAGAAGGCAGATGGGCTAAATCCCTAGCCTCTCCTTCTCTACTGTCTCAGCAAAGTGAATCTCTACCAGTAATTATTCCCATCATAGCTGAGGAGATGTCAACACATCAAACAATTTCAGGTTACCCAGAACTTTTTCTGAATTCAATAAACAGAGTGCATTGTGGTCTTCCATTGGTATATATATATCTTTTGTCCATCATGAGTAATATATGGTGCTGCTTGTACCCAAACTAGACCACAATGCACTCTGTTTATTGAATTCATAGAGGGCCTATGGTCACTGCACAGCATGTCATATCATGAGTTTTTTACAATCATATGAAGCTTGGGGTTGTAGCCATTGTTCACAACTCTGATTTATAGGATAAAATCTTACCAAAGCATCTATGTATATAACCCAGCATTGTTGTCCTGGTATAATGGATAATGACGGCAAGTCTATAGCTGATCTGTTATTGAAAGATCTTTCCATTGCTCTAGACAGATCAGCTGCAAGATCTTCACCTCCTCTGCCATTAAACTCTGGAGAGGCATTTGATGAACTAGTGCAATGAAACAGATAAAAGAAATTTGTATAAAAAATATATCATGTGATATCCAGCAATAAATGAATGGAAATAGATGCAATGATAGGATGAGACTGAAAGAAAGAAAAAATGAAAAAAATCGTAGCTGAAAGGGATGAGAATATGAGGTATAATGTGAGTGAAATTGAGGGAAAGGAATGTGAAAAAAGAGAAAAGTGAAAAGGTGAAGTTAACAAATAATTAATAAAAGGAATAGAAGAAAAGAAATTAAAATTGAAAGGTGAGAAAAGGCAGTATGAGATGAGGTGAATGCAAGAATACAATGAAACTCATAAAATTTAAGGAATGGTCCATGCTTAACATGCATACATCCAGTTCTGGATGTATGCGGCAGTTTACTAAATACAAACGAAGCGTAAGAGTTGCACACAAAAAATTACCAAAAACATTAGAATTTTTTTCAATGAAATCTGCATTACATAGCATAATCTACTGAATTATGTCAGCATGGCCGGCCACACCATCCATATTTGGATGCATTCTCATATATGCTAAAATACCAATCAGAGCATGCATCATATTGTGGTTATGTTATAAAATCTGTTTGCTCACCTAATCCCATTTCTTATTTTCTATATTTTTTCTTCTTTTGGTTTCTATTGCTTCTAATAATTTCCCTGCTAGCAGAATCTCCCTAGGAAGACTCTGCTAGCAGGGAAAGAAAAGATAGGAACCACTTACCAGTCAACAAAGAACTCAACCCTTCCTTCCTTAGGTCTTTTTAGATTAGGCTCACCTATCTCTGCTTTCACTCCAACTAAGATATCTGTTTTGGACTAGCAATAGGAAAAATGCATAAACATTATTCCATGGATGAGGACTTCATTGTAACTGGAAAAGCTGGGTATTGTAGTACTCTGTGTTCAGAGCAATTGCCATGGCCGTAAAATGGTACATACTAGTTKTCGTCGGATTGTGAAAAGCTTGAACATGAACCTGGCAAGGCATATGCCAAACCAATCACACAGAGCTAGACGTTACCCTCTGTCCAATGAAATGCCCTAAAATGGCATGAACAACATGCGGGCATGGTCACACCAAGATCACTACACTGCTAGACCAATCAGATTTCATGGGAAACAAATTATCCAACCAAAATTCTAGAAAACGTAAGGGTAACCACAACACACACATACCATACTGAGCTTTTCRCAGTCACATGATGCAAAATTAACTTTATTATAATGGATAATGTTTTTTGTCATATGTTCTGATGACCGGGAATAGTCTAATCTGATTGGCTAATGGTTTAACAAATTTAAACAACTGTTGAACTAGTGCAGCCTGACTCTGGAATTTAACCACAGTTACGTTCGGCTGTACGCAGGCTACAATCTTAGACAAAAAGAGTTGAGAAAATTTTATTTCATCCGTTAAATTGCCCAATTTTCCTTTGAAAATTGTGTTGGATCATCGTATCCCTTCCCCCTCGGTGCAATGTTGGTCCCATCAGGTAAAGCAGTGCTCTCTCCATGGCAACAACATTGTTTGGGGGGGAGGGGGTTGTTTTAAGGGGAAATTTTCGTGTTTTTCATGAAAACATTCATTAAAAATAAAAAATTCTCAACATTTTTGTTCAAGATTGTAGATCTAGCTAGTGAACTCTTAAAAACACTACGTCCCTGCAGAGCAAGTGACGATAAACTATTAAAGTGACGATAGTTGTCACAGGAACAGCAAAAACGCCAATGACATTCGTTAAAATACATCTGGAAGCCGTAAAGCATTATGAAAGTCTTAAAACTAAAGCTTAGTAAAATTTGACAGCATCCAAGTTTTTAGACGACATACCAATTTAACACGTGCAGATCCACTAGTATTTGAAACGATCCCAGTCTCTACTTCAAAGTATCTGTAATCCTCACAAGCCCGTCCATCTGATCTAAAATCTTCCTGTACCCCACTGACGATAAAGCGTCGTTCAGAACAAGAAAGACGCGCATCCGCCATCTTGGATCCCCACTCTTATCCCATATAACTATTCACCAAATATCACGACCACTGGACAGATATACAGTAGGCTCAGCTACAAAATCGATTCAAACTCGTGTTTCGTATTTATTTTTATTGCGATGATTTAATTAATTTTGTAAAAATATGGCTTTTGCAGGAGGTTCTAGTAGTCTCACAGATGATGGAAAAGACTTAAAATGTCCCATTTGCTTGGAAATTTTTGAAAAGCCTATACAAATTTCCTGTGGACACAGGTAAGGAAAAGGCTGTGTGCCGTCTGCTGCGCAGACTCAGCAAAAAAATTGAGTTAAAAAATATAGTAATTTTAACTGGGTTTCTCTGCGCTCATTGTTTCATATAATTTTTCTTTGACATTACTTTTAATAAATTGAGGCAAAGGTTTAAAGAAGGACGTAAAGAAAATAAAAAATAGCTCAAAATGCGAAACCGGAAGTAGAGCTGGAAGCGTTATGGACATGATGCAACTAATAATTTCTTCCGAAAACTTCAAACTCTAGAAATTAAAACTCTTCATTATTTTGTAGTTTCTGCAAGGACTGCATCATGGGCTGCCTTAGTAAAGTATCTATTTCACARTGTCCCGTTTGTCGGACAAGTTTTACTACTGTACAGATGAAAAACAACACCAGACTAGCCAACCTGATTAACTACACATCTGAAACTTGTTCAAAGTGCAAACAAACGGTAGTACTATTTTCACTTTCATTTTCATCGAGAAAATAATTGTTATGAATCTTGTGTTCTGATTGGTTGGTAGCGTGTGCTTTAGGAGAGCACACAGCTTATGTGTGTACAATAATTTCAGTTGCATCATTCCTATCCAAAATAACGGTTATTGTAATTTGTATTTCATAAAAGAAATGCTTGCTGTGCTGTGTGGAGTCATAAAGCACTTGGGGATGCAGAACACTTAAGAAGTGTCAAGAAGCATTCGGCTTTTCCAGGAACACTTCTCTCATGTTCTATAAACAGCTCCCATGTGCATTATATAACTGCACACGTGCACGACAGCAGGTGCGCTTTTTTCTATTTCTTCAATAGAGTAGCTCTCATTCATTAGGACATATGATAGGGCAGATTGATAGCCATAGCTTTTGTTGTGCACCATGTACGTTTTACTATAACCTAACTATAATGTATCATATGSACGTCACTGTCATTTGATGACATAAATAGAAAAAACAGTGGGAAGCCATTCCAATGTTATAGTATACTCTTGTTAGTGGTATCTTTGTTACTCATACAATGAGAATGGGAAATATGGTGGTCGAACTCATAGCAGCTAGAGAGTGAAAACTGAGCRTGAAATTAAAGGGAGGAGTGGGAGGGAAAAGAGAAAAAACTACCAAGCGTGATCACAGAGTATGATTAGCAGAACCACAGGAAATCTCAGAAGCTGGCTAACATTTTTTGGTAGTAATCTTGAAGAGTGATGTCAAGGTGGAGTGATCTCATTTATGTTTGCACAGAGATACCGCTGACAATAGTATGGCTTACTGTATTAAGCTAATACAGCATGCAGTAAGTGCCGAAATCACTCAAAAAGTGTGAAGAGCACAAGCATATCTTTGAAATGCTGTTTTCTTTCACATTGCAAAGCAGGATATGCATGCATGGATGCATGACATAAGCACAATTATGCTCATTCCCTAAAACAGCACAGCTCTGGACCAATCAGATGATAATAATTTGCATTTCATTATTCTGGAAGGTCGCAGTGGGAAGCCATTTCTGTATTATAGTATATGACTTACTGTAAGCTAATACATTATGCAGGAAGTGCCGAAGTGTGAAGAGCACAAGCCATATATATCTTCTCACACTTCTTGTGAGTGCTTTTGGTACTATTCCTATAAAGTGTACATTGTATACTGAACTGAGCAGGATATGCATGCATGGATTAGGATGCATGGCATAAGCACTATGCTCATTTCACTAATACAGCACAGTTCTTGCCAATATTCAGAGCATATGACATTGATTTACATTTTTATTATTCTGGAAGGTGGCATTATCCTCCTTTAGAAAACACAAGGACACGTGCACTGGTACCCATGACTCCAAAAGCTGCTTGGTGTTCAAACCAGTATTACCCACATCCCAGCCAGAACCRAGGTAATCTAATAGACCATTTATTATTTCATTGGGGAGGGGGCGAGAGTGTTTCCATGACAACACATTGTTATTCAAACCAGTATCACCCACATCCCAGCCAGAACTGAGGTAATCTAATAGACCATTTATTATTTCATTGGGGAGGGCGAGTGTTTCCATGACAACACATTGTTATTTAAACCAGTATCACCCACATCCCAGCCAGAACTGATGTAATCTAATATACCATTCATTATTCATTGGGGAGGGGGTGGGTCCAAAAGTGTTTCCATGGCAAYACCAGCAAGCATATCAAATTGATTTTTTTACCCTGCACTATAATCAGTTCAAGTTTCAGTGAGTTTGGGCTAATTCTCACAGAGATATTAGAGTGCAAACCATATATCAATAGTACTAATTTATTTAGTACAAAATAGCACCAATGAAGCAATTAAAAACAATAGAAATAGATGTGTTCAGTGCTTTTAAGTTTTTGTTCTATTTCACAGATACACTCAATTGAAGAATCGTTGTCGGGTTCAGAAACATAGAACATAGAAGCTGAGACCAAAATGGCACATGGGAAATGACATAATTGTATTATAATCTATTAATTTGCGCCATCCATGCAGTCGGTTTAGAATGCCAAACGCGTATCAAAAACAGTGGATGATGCCACGAGTCGCCGGTCACAGAATGCATCTAATTAACGTACTTCCCATGTGCCATTTCGGTCTGAGCTTCTATGTTCTATGTTTCTGAACCCGACAACAATTCTTCAATTGAGTGTATATGGTTTGACTTTTTACTATTTATCTTTCATGACGTTGCAATTTTTATATTCATTTGAATATTTGGCAAGGAAAAGAGATATTCAAGGAAAAGTAAATGCCATTCTTATTTATTTTATGATTGCTTTCAAACTACGAAGCCAAATCCTGTAGGGCTTATAGGCTAGTGAAACAAAGAAATAATACTTTAGGGAATGACACATGGTCTGAAATGGGAAAATATGGCCAATTGCAAATATTATTGCCTTTTATTTTTATCTCCAAACTAAAAAGGGAAGCATTTTTATGGGTATATGGTATGCACTCTATTGTACTCTGTTTGATAAAAGATTGAAGGCTTGAAAATATAATTTCTCAATGGGAAAGTATCATTTAACCTCATTTAAAATCACTGCTGTCTGATGTAAAAATTTTCTGTGTTAATTACAGTGCCATTCCAAACCGTTCGACCTTCAAGTGTCCATACTGTGGTACACCGAATCTGGTTAGAGAAGACCTGATAGAGCATGTCATTGAGAACCACAATCAAGACGTGCAACAAGTGGTGGGTTATTGTATATATATTTTAAATTGTGATGTACACTGTACATTGTAAAAAGGCTTATCATAATAATGGCTGATCAACAAATATCTGGCCAAAATTTGCATCTATCCAGCAAACGCTATTGGACTGGTCCTCTTGACTGGTCACAAGTTTGAACACTTGCACTAAACTCCTGGGGGGGGAAATCTGCACACCAACAATGCCCCTGGAAATCCTTAAGTGCTATGGAAGAGTCACAGTATGGGAGCAGCCATCTATGAAGATGTCCTTGGCCAGTCATAAAATGACTCATTGTTCAATTTTATGATGTTTTAAGGTGTGTCCAATTTGTGCTTCTATGCCATGGGGAAATCCCAACCAGAAAAGTGGAAACTTCCTGCAGCACCTCAACATGAGACATAAGTTTGACTATGACACATTTGTGGTAAGCACACCTGTAACAACTAGTTCCAGAAAAATATCCTTACTTCTCACATGCAGGGGGAATTGAATTTCTAAGATGTGGGAAGGGTTTTGGTAGTATAAGATGTGGTTGCAGAAAACAATACCTCCCCCATAAAGGGAGTTTGAAATTACCTAGTGATTTGAAATAACTCCTCTGTAGGGAGTTTGGAATTTTCAAGAGTTGGAGAGGGACTGAAGAGGGTAGAGAAGATATCTATATGTCGAACATGGAGGAAATCATGATTTCTGAGACGCAGAGAGAAATCTCTGAGGAAGGTGCTTCAGAAAATCTGTACCTCACCCTTAGATSTAGTTTTGCAATTAAGAACTAGACATTAATTTCCAAGAGGAAATGCTTTGGTATGAAGAACAAAATTTAATTCAAAATATAAATATTTTTTACAGGATTACAATGACGAGGAAGATGAAATCTTACRAGCTGTACTAGAAAAATCAAGAAAAGAAGTATAAATGTTGCACTGGCTAAGAAAATAAATATTATTTTGTATAAATTGATGTGCACACTATGATATGTATATGCACATTTAGGATTTATAAAAGCTTGAATGTATGAAATTTGAGGGAAAGAAATCAAAACACAAGAACATTATTTATCATGTCTGGAGTTATCTGGAATAAATAAGCATGACAGAAAAATGATATTAAAAGCAACACCGGGAGTGGGGGTGAATTTGAAGTGGCACACAGGGAAAGGAAGAGTAGTTTTCAACTCGAGATCGATTAACAACAAATCTCTTCATTTAAAAGACCTTGTCGTTGATGAAAGTATTGATATTCTTGCTTTGACTGAAACCTGGCTTAGGAATAATGATAGTAACAGTGACTTTGCTTCTCGCGATATTTGTCCAGATGGTTTTTCTTTTGAACACTGTCCTCGAATTAATCGTTCTGGTGGTGGAATTGGTCTTCTTTTCAAGAAATCGATTAAAATCAAACGTATTAACACTACTGTTCCTTACTCTTCTTTTGAACACTTGGAATTTACTCTTCGTGGAAGTTCGAGTCAAGTCCGTCTTATTGTTGTGTACAGACCGCYGCCTACTTTGAAAAATAATTCATCAACTTCTAAGTTCYTCCAAGAATTTTCGTCGCTGCTTGAATCTCTTTCTATGTTCAATGGTAAACTGTTAATTGTTGGTGATTTTAATTTCCATGTTGATAACCCAAATGATGTCTACGCTGTTCGTTTTACTGATTTACTTGATTGTTTTAATTTATCTATCTTGAATAACTTGGCTGAACCTACTCACAAAAACAATCATGTTCTTGATCTCCTGATATCTAGGAATGATGACTTGCTTGTTAAGAATGTTTATATCCGTGATCCTGTGTTGTCTGATCATTTTGCTG